TAGCTGCTCGAATTGCCCATCCATGTTCCATATCAATTGGCCATTTTTGCTTCTTACAAAGATCTTTAGACATGAGATTTATTTCAGAACCATGGTCGACTAAAGTAACTATTGGTTCTTCTATATCTTCTACTTTCACCAATACCTCAGTAGTTGCCTTGGCCCAATGCTTTCGAGTATAATGGCTCAAAGTTTCCATTTCTTTGTCACTAGAATCTTCAAAATGTACTCGTTGATTATACCCATTCTTTTCATTTGTTGGTTGCTTGTAACCAATATCAACCTCTTCTTCATCTCTATATATTCTTGCATCAATAGCACGACTCATTCCAGTTTCGCCCATTAATTGCCTCTTTTGCTTAATGCTGTCAATGATGACATCATGAAACTCCTTCTTTGCAATTCCCAAGACTTCTTTCAATGTGAATTCCACCTTAGCATTTAATATACGTTCTTCCAGCACTTCTTTATAATTTGTTGCCGCTTCAATGTCAGAAAGTAGTTTATAAGCAATTGATTTGCCCTTACCTTTTGTCTCCGTTGTTTTTTCTCCCAATGATGCTGAGGTATCCTTTACAGGCAATTCTTGTGAAGTTGCCTCCCGAGCCTTGTCTCCTCGAGTTTGCCTCTTAGAAGAATTTCCTTCTCTAGTATCATCAAAATTTCCTCGTCTCTTTTCTTCCATCAAAGCTTCATGTTGGCTCTTAGCAATATATGCATGAACTGAAAGAGACTCAACAGGATCCTCCAACCTGTTACACCTCGTATTGTAGCTGCACTCCTCAATAACGCTTCTCGAGGTAATTTCCCTTCTTGCATTGTAGAAATGGCAGAAGCCCAAAACTCACTAGTTTCCGTACTTCCACCAATTTCATCATCTACTCTAGCACCATAACTTGCACTTTCTCGTGCTGCTGTTTCATGCTCTTTTAGGTAATCTTGAACCAATGCTCTCATTCCTCCCTTGCCAAAATTGGTTTGAAGAAGATCATCCCTATTTTTCAATGCTATCTTTCCATCTTTCCAGCAAATAATTCCCTGCCGTATCATATTATTAAATTCATTGCAATCTTTTCTAGTGTGTGAAGCATCATCACACCAAATGCATCTTTGTACATATCCTTGTTTTGAAACATTCTTCGAATTGTTTATAGAAGTATTCTCTTCAAGTCTTACCAATTTGATTTGAAGATCTCGCATTCCTCGTATAATTTCTTCCATCCCCATATCTGCTTTCTTTGATAAGGATGTCGAAGGTTGAATTGTAGGCATTGTTGGTGGTGTTGTACGTACTGGAGCTTTGGATGCTTGTACTGTTTTCGGAATATTGCTCCTATCCTTCTTCCTTTCTCTTTTTGTAAGCAACCCCACAGTATCTTCAACGTTCTTCCACTTCGTTGTCAATCCTTCATCTTCTTCTTTGTCTTCAAGAAGGAGTTCTAATTTTCCTTGCAATTCTCCATCAGTAGCTTGAAGAAATAGATCAACTTTGTTTGGCTCCAATGTCAATTTTTCTACCTTCGACAATTGAGAGTACTGCCTCTCAAATTCCCTTAGTAGCTCGGTTGCTTGCAAATTCTTATTGGGCCATTCAATCCATTCCAGAAACAGCTTCTTAGTAACACGATTTGCATCTTCCAAGAAATATTCGTCTTTCAATGCATGTGAAAAAATCTCCCATGAATTCTCATAACGATCCGTAATCAATGTAATGTGGTCTCTTATCTCATGTATCATGGCAAGTCCAAATAATTCAACCATTTTCTTCTCTGAAACCCGATTTAATTCCATTTCACAAACATAACATCTTAAATACCTTGAAATATTCCTTCCATCAAATTGATCAATTTTATTGACCACTGCTTGCAATGCTTTAGTTGCCAAAGCTTCCTTTCGATCATTGCTTTGCTGTTGGTGCATTGATAATGAGAAGGCTTGAAACATACTAGCAATAGACGGATCCATGTGCATACCTTATCCTTTAGAAGAACCTCCACCAGAAACTTCTCCCAAAAATCCTTCAAAATTTTTATTTTCGTTTTCCATAAAAATAAAGATAAAATCAACCGAAATCCAATACCTTCCACCTCAAGCTTTCACGTCGGGTTCACCACTTTTGTCGTATTGCATGCTTTTCTGCTCGAGAATGCGCCGGGCATCTGGCTGTAGAAGGTAGTATGGAGATTTACCAATAGTCAAGCAGTCTATCAGTTTTTGACTGCTGGAATATAAACGACTACAAGAATACACCGTAAATCTATACGGATGCCCTTCGATTGCTTGTCGAAGTCCTTTTTGCCCCAGCCGGTAGGTCTCTAGACATTACAGAGAACCCCAAACAACCCAATCTACTAATCTCCGGTACCGCTTTTTACTTACGATCTTGTATCCACTGACTGTCTTGTTAGATTAACCCAATAAATTTCATGCACTCCGCATACTCAATCCTATAGACACCCTTTTAATTCTTCAATCACAGACATAACTCGATTTCACAAAACAGTCAAGAGTAATCAAACCCACTTCATTAAAAAATCCCGATTCACCATTACAACACTGACTTCAGCAACGATTGTCTCAGTCTTCCCAAAACCCTATGAAGAAGAAAAACCCAATTCTCCATCTTTTCTTCCCCGATCCGAAGCATGAAGCTCCTCTCCAATCCCCCTGATCTTCAAAAAAAACCCCCTAATGAAACCGAACTAGTAACCTTGAAAAAAAAACTTGAAGCTAGCTCTTCGATCCAAAAAACCCCGATCTCCAAAAAAAAAAAAAACCCCCCCCCCAAAACTTATTCTCTCCCCTAACCTTATCCTCTGAATTTTTTCAATCTTCCGTCTTGGATCCAGAATTGGCTCCCATCATCAGAGCTTGGATCCGAAATTGGCTCTCATCGTCAAAGCTTTCTCCCCCGCTTTTACCTTTAAGAGATCTTTTTATCGAAAACAACGTTCCCTGAAATGGCACAGGGAATAGGACAGCCTAAAACAAAATCGAAACCCCGTAATCGGGACCATATTGAGTCGCCCGACCAATTCAGGTCTCATATTGGCTAAGAGTCCAATAGTAAGACCCGAATGTCCCCGTAATTGGATCCAATTGGTCCTTCGCGTCAGATTGGCTGAGGCCCGTAGTAAGACTTGGATTTTTCCGTAATTAGACTGCATTGGGTTGCCCGACCAATTCAGGTGTCATATTGGATAAGAGGATCCGGATTGGATTCTTGAAATTGGATCCAATTGGCTCTTCAAACCAGGCTCACCCGTCGTGTGAATTGGTCCTTTTCCTTCCTGCTGACTCCCATTATTGGAATCGAACTGAGCATTTCAGTATGCCCCGGCTGACTGTAATGGGGTGACTGAACCTGACCACTCAGTATTTGTACTGGAGTTGGTCGTTGCTCCCAATATTCGAGGTAACTGAATATTAATAAAAGTCCTCTTTCTTTATATTTTCACGGTATACTCGTGTTACAACACGACAACGCGTACCATCGAACTTGTCCGAAAGGCTAACTCGGGGCTCCTTATGTTCTAGAACCAGTGGTGCTTGTCGAACCTGGGGCAAAGTTGCTTCTCCAAATGCAGAAGTTTGAGGCTGGTGCAACCTAGATTGTGCCATCCCAGATGTTCCATCATTATGAAGCCTTGCCACGACTCCTTCAATCTCTGCAGTTCTTTGCGATAACGTAGCGAAGGCATTCATGATAGCATCTAACTTGGACTCTGAACTTTCCGTCATACTAATGTCTTGACCCCCGGCCATTCTAAGAGAAGGACAGAAATGACTCTACAAGAAGACAATATTGGTTTAGAGGAGGGTACTCCGCAACCTCTAAAATGCCTTAAGAGCTTCAAGAAAAGGGGTAATCCACTCTCTCAAAGAAGAATAAGACTCCAATATTGTAACAAAAGAAGTATCAGTTTAGAGGAGGGTAATCCGCAACCTCTAAAATGCTAGTACACTTCCAAGCAGAGGGGTAATCCACACTCTAACAAAGAAGAACTAGCTCTGATATCTAAGTTGAGTGAAGTCTCGACAAACTGTCATGGATACAGAATACAGACTTGATATCTACCAAAAAGTTCAAGAAGAACTGGCAAGAACTAGATTAATTAGATGAATACAAGAACAACACCAGAGAGGTGAGCTAGAGCTCCAAAAGATGTGTTGTCGAGACTGAAGAACTCTTCAGCCTTGATTCCAATATATACTCCTATTTAGGAAGCTTCTCAAGCAACTTCTACCAACTAGGAAGCTTCTAGAAGGTTCCAGAGACTTGCTTCTAGAAGGTTCTAGAAACTTATCTCTAGAAGGTTCTAGAAACTTATCTCTAGAAGGTTCTAAGGACTATGTCCCTAACATCTTCTATCAACTAAGAAGCTTCTAGAAGATTCCAGAGACTTGCTTCTAGAAGGTTCTAGAAGCTTGTCTCTAGAAGGTTGTAGAAACTTGTCTCTAGAAGGTTCTAAGGACTATGTCCCTAATAACAGCTCATGTCTTGATTGTAACAATTGTAAGATGTTCAAAAAGTTGATTTTTGTAATGCTTATTTCAAAAAAAATTAAAAAAAATTAAAAAATCATAGGACTTTTCAAATTTTTTTAAAACTTTTTTTTAGGATGGATTCAATAAAATTATTAACACACAATACTATTTATGCCATGGAAGAATAAAATACATTCCATCTTATCTTTTTCTCTTAGGATATTTGGACTAATTTTTCTAAATAAAAAGCTAACTTAGTGAGGCTTAACAACTTTAAATAATCAAATTTTTTACAAATTATGACTTTTCACTTTGTCTCTTAAGCATAAAGACCTCCTAAGCAAATAATAACTTGATTATTTTTAATTATGTATATTTATAATTATTGGATATAAAATTATAACTTGCACTTAGATTGAATTTTGAATCAGTTTATTATACAAAAACCTTGCTCCAAAAGCGTAGGCTAGTGAGACTACAGCTACTTTAAAGTTTGGAGATCATCAATTGAGGTTTTAGAAGGGTTTAGGGTTTTAGTCCAGCCAGTGAATTTTCCTCTTTCGAATTTCATGTTGCTTGGGAATGCGTCGTGGTGCGAAACTGAAGATGGGATTTCAATCTTCAGCTGGAGGTTCAGGCGTTTCTGTTAATGATTCGCAGTCGAGTTTCCATGAAGGTTTCAGGTTTAGGGCTGAATGGGTTTGCAGTCCTCTGTTGTATTTTGCTGGATTTTCGCAGTTTTAGTGTTCTGATTGTGAAACAGGAGAAACGTTCTTACACCCCCGTGAGTGGGTTGAGGAATAGGAGTTGAGGCTCGTGGGAGGCTGTGGGTTTGAGGTTTTGGGTCGGATTTGTGGTTTCTAAGAGATGGTGTCTTGGGTTCGGCGGATTCTGTGAGTGGGGTAAGGAGTAGGAAAATGGATTGAATGCCATTGTGATGGCGCAGCGGAGTTTCACCTTGGCGGGGCTGCGTGCCGCGTCGTGCCAGACGCAGGGTTTATTACGGTTGCCGAATTCTCTACAAGCTGCCATAGCTGCATTTATTGGAGATATTCCAACAAGGGAAGTGAAACAGAGCGTGGCGAAGCTGACGTCCAATATGAAGGTGCGGAAGGAGGCAGCGAGGATTGTAGTGGGCACGCAAGCGGTGGAGGGCTCGGACGATGCTCGTGCAGCCGTGGAAGAGTACTTGGGGAAGACCACGGCGACGCAGGTGCGGTTGAATAAGGAGCTTTTTGCCCCTGCTCAGGCTCCCGTTCGGTACGAGTACGATGAGAAAAATGTGGCTGCGTATGTAGCAGCTCGTATGCCTGCAGTGTATGGTGCTGTCTATCGCGTTTTGTCAGAGATTTCGACTCGTCTTCCTGATTTTACCCCCACTCGCGTTCTGGATTTTGGATCTGGTCCCGGAACTGTGCTCTGGGCCATGAGGGAGCTTTGGCCTCAGGGAGTGGAGCATGTCAACTTGGTTGAACCGTCAAGAGCCATGGCCGCAGCTTGCCGCACTCTCTTGCAGGATTTGGAAAACATCCCGCTAGTCAAAGTTCACCCAAGCCTTTCCTTGTATACTCGCGGTTTACGAAAGGACAGACGTTTGCATGATCTTGTCATTTCATCATATGCGTTAGGTGAATTGTTGACGCCAGCCGAGCGCATTACCACTGTTCGTCAGCTGTGGGCTCTCACGAGTGACGTTCTTGTGTTAATTGAGCCGGGAACCCCACAAGGCTCAAGCATTGTGCGAGAGATGCGAGCTCACATACTCCACATGGAAAAGAAGAAATTGCGACGATCTGCTCAAAGCGACCAAGGAGATGGTTTCCTATTAGAGTCTGAAGAACGACCTGGTGCATTTGTTGTTGCTCCTTGTCCGCATGATGGGCAGTGTCCAATGGATAAAACCAGTAATTGGTGCCATTTTGTTCAACGTCTAGAACGAACAACCTCTCAACGTGTGACGAAGAGGCATACCAAGCCGACGCCATTGCGAGCGTATGAGGACGAAAAATTTTCTTTCGTGATTCTCCGACGCGGCAGTCGTCCTAATGTCCCTTATCCTCTGGAAGGACTGACAATTGAGCCAGCAGAGGAGGAAGACTTTGAATTCATTGAGGATCCTATGGGCAAGCTTGATGCAGTTGCAACTGATGACGCGGATGAAGAGTCGGGTAACGATTCACACGAATCAGACGAGTTTGAAGAGGAGGAAGATGATGTAATAGTAGGGAATAGCACAGCCGATGTTGGAAGTGGATGGGCTAGAATAGTCAGGACTCCTATACGGCGAGGCCGTCGGACAATATTAGATTTGTGTGCCGCAACTGAGAGGGATGGCTCTCGGGGGGAAGTCACTCGTATTATCTGCTCACGAAAAGGGAACGCTGCTCCGCTGCATCCACAAGCTCGAAAATCACGATGGGGAGACCTCTGGCCATGTTGAAAAACCCCTCATTGATTCGTACAATTTATGTTTCTGGTACTTCTTTTTGCCTGGCGTGAGAGGTGGATATAGTCAAACGCTTTAGCACTAGTGTACTCGCTATCACAGGGCATAGGCTATATGGTTAGTACGATGATACGGCGAGGAAGAGACGTCCACTAGCTAATTTCTTGCAAAGAGTTCGTGTAGATACTTACTGAATGATACTCTGAGTATGTCTTTGTGATTACCATATCACCTATGGCATGCACCCCTAGGATACTAGATTTCTGAGCCGGTGAATTTGCATATGCAATTCTCCAAGGTTGGTTATTTGAAATGAACTGCTGTGGATCTCATCTTTTAGTGCGAGTTTTCAATGAAAAGCAATGAGCTACAACCTGCATCGACACGCCAAAGTCTAGCACTCAACCCTATTATTTCTGTCTTTGAATGGTTGGGTTGTTTCATCTCATGTTGTAGCTGAAATAATCCAAGCTTAAAATCGAACATTTTGCATGAAGTCTAGCATTTTACATCAAGTGAAGCAATTTACGTCATATCTCTCTTCAATTGTCTGGTTATTTTTTAAGCTAATATTATTCTTCTTGACAATACTATCACACAACCCGAGCGAGCGTCTACATGAATGACTTGATATGCCTGGAATCGCAAGCCTCTAGCAGCTAAGTTTTGGGTCTAGAACACTGGCTGATTGTCTCCAGCTTGTAACATCGACAGAGAGATGCTTCTATAATGCGTAGTGAAGGAAAAGATATGGAAGCATGGGTTACATTGATGTGAAATTTTCTGTAATACTACATATTCTGCATAACATAAGTAGCGAGGCTTTCATTTTCTTGTTCATTTACGTCTTATAAATCTTGCTGGTTGTATGACGTGGCAATTGAGGATTTAATAGCAGATGCACGAATTCTGGATGGGCCTAGCCGAAAGAAAGGAAGGGACGTTTTGGGAAATGAATTTTGGGAATCCACCCCACAAAAAGTTACTCAAATATCTCAAGTACGAATGATGGATGGTTGAAAGACTTCATGTGTGTACTTTTACAATCTACCTCGTATATAATTGGTCTTGGTCTTACAGAATTGATATTCCGAGAGTTAGACCGAAAGTTGGAAAACATGTGGCAGGGTTTTGAACTTACCAGAATAGGATGGGTACATTGACGACTTTCTCACGGGCCTTTCGGAGAGGACCACCGAACTCACTCCCGATACACAGTTGGGATGAGTCTCGATGTGAAAAGAAGGCTTCAAAATAACAACTCCTTAGGCTATGAAGGCACACAATGATGGGTGGATTCTAAACTGCCACAGGAGTCACGAAGACAGTCCTTGGACAAGTGATGAACTCAGATTTCTTGTGGGATCACTCTCTAAATCTAACAACAGGCATGGTTGACACAAAAAATACATAAAAGCTCACACTATCACCTGTCCCGTTATTACACACGTGTAGGTGTGTGCATCAAGGTGTTCCAAGCCACCAAATATAAACGTCTACCAAGTGAAAGATTGGACTGGCAATAGCTATTCCTCAGCAAGCACCCAACTTCAGGGCTATCGGCTAATGCGAGACTCTTCAATCAGGTGTTCAACGGAAAATCATAAAGATGTGATAATTTACATCACCCTTCGATCACTTCCAATAATAAGTGACATTCTAATGCAGCCCCACAAACAGGAGAGTGTTCATGTCACATGAACGGACCTTCACATTGCCATATGTTCGTGCAGTGTGAATGGAGAGATCAGACGCGGGCCAATTTTGAACAGAGATTGCATTTGCATTCAGATGTAAGAGTTCCGTGTGTCACTGTGCACCACAAATGTAAATCGCCTATCTGGAATATTGATCTCGAAAACATGGTTCCTCATTTAGCTGCATTCACTTCCATGCCACAATATCTGTGCTAAACTGCAAAATTTAGTGAAACACTCCTACAACTAGGGCCTGGAGAGAACGCATCAACTACGAAGGCTTTCAGAGGTACCCACTTCTGATGCCCACTCCATTATTTACGATCAAAATGATTAATCATAAGCCTTCGAGCCTAAATTAAACTTTCATAGACGGAAAATAGGCTATGCGTTGAGGGTCTTCATTGATTACTGGGTAGTGGGAGTTTCTATGAGATGTGAGATTCTCAGCCTTCTAATTATATACTGCTCATGCCCTGAGATGGCATAAGATTCATGATCACATAACTTCTACCTAATTGGTACGCAGAGCCGAGCCAGCTTGTTAAAGCTACTCCACTGGTGATGGTATCAGCTGAGCTAATTTGTGTCAACTCTGGGAAGGTACGGAGCTGCAGTCTCGAGCCATTGCCTAACGTCTACACCCGAGGCTTCCAACCAGTCCTTTCGATCGACGCATTCTATGAAGGGAGAAGTGAACTCTTTCAGAAGTGAAGAGATCACAACGACTAACCGCAACTCATCCGCATTTAGTTGATTACCAACTCCAGTCTCAATCATAAACCTACTGGGAAGTTCCTGACCTTCTTGAATTGCGTACCTCACAGACGACAACCAGCTCAGAAGGGCACAGTGGGCCGCGCCAGTTGAAAGAGACTTCAGATGCAGAGACCACATGATTGAGGATTTCGTCTGCAAGCCAGTGTACACGCCCGACGAACAGAATAGGGACAGAAGCTTGAATGCGTAGTTGCGATCCCCCTTGTGCCAAATCAACTGCAGCAAGGAGTTGCAAATTGGCTTGTGAGCCTCCTCTGCCATATCACTCAACAATGACTGCAATCCGTCCCCCAATTTCTTCAACACGAGGTTCTCTTCGAATATGTGTCCAACAATGTTATCCATCGTTGGGTTGCACATTCGCAGGCAGCTTCGGAGAATCTCAAACTCTACGTCCGTATCACATGCGTCGAGAAGATTGAGGATTACACACCACAGACGTTCGTCAGGAGCACAGTTCGCAGACACCATCTCATGCAGAATCTCTTGAACCTTTTCGTAATCTTTGGCATTTCCATACCCCTGAAGAAGGCTAGTGTAAGACATAACATCAGGTTGGTATCCAGCTTCAACCAACTGTGAAAACATTCTCTGCGCCTCCACAGCCATACCGTTCTTGGCATACAAACTGATCATATTTCTGTAAGTCCAGTCATTGGGCTGATGCCCATACTCTACCATCTCTCTCAAATATTGCTCTGCTTCGGGTACCAATCCAGCTTCTCTGCACATCTTGATCACTGCATTGTACACAATGATATCACAAGCTAAGTCCTGTCTCATATGATGAAAAATCCCCAAGCCCTCCATCACCTTGCCAGATCTGCTATAAATTTCCATCACTGTGCTCAGTGTCACTGCATTTGGCTTCACACCTGCTTGCTTCATCTCTTGGAAAACCTTTAATGCATGGCCCATCCTACCCGCGCGACCAAGACAAGAAATCATGATGTTGTACACAACTGAGCCAGGTTGGATGCCAGACCCTTTCATTTCGTCAAATATAGAGACTGCTGCACTAATGTAACCCGCTCTTCCAAATAGCCGAACCATGGTGCCGTAAGTGACCTTGTCCGGCTTCCAGCCTGATTTTTTCACACTTTCATAAAGCGCAACAGCTTCGTCGTATTTGCCCACCTTTCCATACACGTCTATCATGGTGCTGTAAGTGACAGCATCCGGAACACACTGTGCATCATGCATCCTGTCAAACCATGCCATTGCGGCGTCCTGCCAGAAGACGAGACAAGGAGCTGTGTAAGCGAAGACAAAGAAGACAAAATGCAACAAGCGATAAGATGACAACTCTTGGTGAATGGGGTTGTTTCTCCAATTGTGAAAATAATTAGGGGTAGGGTTTGATATACCTGGTAATTACAACGATTAGCACAACTGATGAGCGTACTGTACGTAATGTTATCAGGACGAATTCCGGCATTGATCATATCCTCGGCAATTTGTTGAGAAAGCTCCCATTGCTGCCCGCGCCGTAGCACCTTCAGCATCACATTATAGGTGTAGATGTTGAGATTGAAGTTCTGCTCGGCTTGCAACCACTTAAACAATGATAGCGCCACTTTCCAACTCTTTAGCGTATTGAGGATGGCGACTACGTCGTAAGGGTTAAGTGATCCTTCAAAATGTTTCATTACCAACGCAACTCCTTCCTCACTCTCATTTGCACCCTTCAATCTGCATCGCAATAGAAAAAATTCAGAGGGATAAGAAACAGGAAACAGGAAACAAACGTACGCTTTAGAAGGAAGAGAGTTAGAAAAGAAGGGTTGTTGTGTCTCAGTGAATTTAAGGTTTAATGAAGGGAGTAAGCATCACTGAAATCTTGTGAAAAATCAAGCAACCAAGAGTCTCACATGTCAAGAACTTGTTGAAAAGAAGGTGCTCTCGACAAGGCTTTACCACCCCTGCCCTTTGTTAGGCTATCGCTGCGACTTCTGCTCTTAACAGGCGTCTCCATATTTACGAACCTCGTCCCCGATCCCCTCTTACTCATGCTATTCAGGTTCAACATGCGCAATTGATCCTGCAACGTCTTGTGCTGCTCACCACCGGTACCCTGGCTCTCACTACCATTTTTGCTACTGCTGATGCGCCGAGGAATCTCACCTTGCGCTATTTCCTCATTGTGCAAGGTACTACTACTGCAACTCACCCTAAGTCTTGTTCTCGTGAAAACGGCAACTTGTCCTGGGCGTGAAGGATGTACAGGCATGCAGCTCCCATGGTCAAGATACTTGGGAGCTAGAGCCATTACACTTCCCTGAAAAATCACAACATAAACTGCTCAAATCCAATCATAGAGCTATTCTATGTCCTGTCGCTCAGCTCAAACTACTCCAGAAATAATTCTTCACGGAAATGAAAAGTCCTACTGAAGCTCACGCAGCTGAAAAATTCAGAACCTACTTCTTAAGTGCCGAAGGAGAAACCCTCCCACGAGACAGAATCTGCGAATCCGACAGCAATGTATGAAGCGAAGACCTGTATCAGAAAGTCTTAAACCCTGCTGTAAACCTCCAGCATCTGGACTGCGGTAGAGTTTGCCAAACAGGAAGAAGCTATGCTTCTGGATAAGCCTGCTTGTTTCTGGGTACATTCATCTCACTTTTGATGATTCTCATTAATCCGTGGCTGGAAGGGCGATGGTCGTCGAAGTATCAATCTAAAGGCCGTAGCGATGCCAGGTGAAGGATTTGCTCTGTATGTGATATAATAAGAATAAAAATAGGGCATCTATGCGAATAGTCAATTAGGTCAGAATAAAAGCTAATCATACGATGCTGTAGGAACATGGTGGATTCATGCAATCGTCTATTTGGTTGTAACAATCAATCGAACGACGTCTAATTACAGCTTCCAAAGCACGTCATCGGAATCCAAACATAATGCAAGGGTCCACATAAATGGAGCGTGGAGTTTTAACAAGCTGAGTTAGATTTTAGGGGCGACCAGGAAGACCGAATCCCTATAATGAACTGCCAAAATAATCACATGTCTAAGGCCCAACTAGGCTTTTGCTTCACAAAATGTGAAGATACGGTTCCAACCATCACGTGAAACCGCGAGACGCGTTAAGGAAGCCGTGGAATCATCATCGGCTCCTAATTCAACCGTCAATGGTGGTTGAACAACCGCATCGCGAACTCCGCAACATAACTCCCTGCCTACAATTTTCATGTCAAGAAGAGCAGTCGAGAATGCGCATGGATAAATGGGTTTCCTCGCCCGTCCCTGTCGTCCACTCTGATTTGGTGTGTGCCTACCCTGGCCTGCATTCTACCTGGATGGGGTTAGATTTTTGGTCTGTAAGTGCTGCATCGCCTTATGACTGAGGCTCCAGAATATGGGCCTTTCAGTTAGAGGGTAGTACTAGTATTGTCCGAAATTCCAAACCTTGCACCTGAATGCTGAGTTCAGATTAGAAAGACCTATTTCTACTACTACTACTACGACTAACAGTATTTCTACTGTGGTTCATTTGAAGTAAAATTAGAGAAAGAATGAACAGTCGAGTTCAGAATTCAATATGTTGGCGAAAACCAGGGGCGAAACAGGAACAACTAGGATCAGAAGTTGCAAGGATGGGCTTCAGGGTGGGCGCTGTAAGTGTGGAGAGAGCATTGTTGTAAGCTGTTGTGTCGAGGTTTATCTATTAGTTTCAACTTTCAGATGAGGAGGATTCTTGAAGAAGCGGGAAAGAGGAATTTGCATGGCCTCTGCACACCTACCGAGGCAGCACAGTGGAAAGAGACCCAAAAGCAAAGCCGTTGCCCCCTCCAGCCTTCCATGTGATTCCGCTGTTTTAGTCTTGTACAATTGTTGTCATTGCTGAGCCTTCAGATTCATGGAAACGTGGTGACTCTCTTGACTGTTCTCTTTGTTGTGGCCCCACAGGCACCTCAACGTTGCCTCTGTTGCACTGCTCGCATTATTCCGAGTCCGATTCATGGGTTGGCCTCTTTTTCTGATGATCAATTAATGTCTGCGTCTTCCGTTTCAGTTCTCTCAAGTTGTTGGAAAAGTTTATGCAGCTGGTTGGCAGTTGGTGGTGGTGGTTGCTTGTGAAAGACAAATCATGTCCTTTTTGGTGACAATGACGCATGTTGTTCGAGATTGGGGAATGACAGGACATTTGCTTTACGTACTTCTCTGTGAATGTTCTGGATGTAGTTCGAGCACAGTTTGTGTTGTGAAATGGGTCCCGTCAAGAGGTGATAAGTTCTCACCACGAAAGTCTAACGTGGGAGTAACGTATTCGGTTGTTGGCGAATTTCTGTAGCATTGTTTGTTTTGAATTCATGCAATGCTATGTAGGTTCTTGTTGGAGCCGCTACTGAGATTTCCTTCAGTTGCGTTGCAGACGAAATCTGAGACAAGGCCTTCAACTCCGAAGCTGAACGTTGCATATTCAGGGAACATTAATACACAGTCCACATAAAAGTAGTCTTGGTGGGCAATGGCACACCTAAGCTACTCCCCATTGCAGAACGAGTTCGGAGACGACAGCGATGATGATTTCGATTTCGATTTCGAGACTGCACGACGGGAGCGTGGGAGCAGCAGGCAGGAGTATCTGCGCAGCTACACATTCACCAGGAAGCCGACGACGCGTGAGAAGATGAAGAACAGGTTAGAGAGGGTGAAGGCAACCGCGTGGGCAATGGTGTCGTGGAATTGCAATGGTCTTCCACACGGAGCGAGGTGGATGAAGAAGAAACTGGCTTTGCAACGCCCCCGCTCGCTCAGCCATGGCGGGCAGCGGCTTCCAAGACCCATTTGCACAACTTTCATGCCGCAATGCTTCCTTGCCGTGTGAATTAAACCTCGACTGGTCTTGCAGATTTTTATAAAGAGCGACGCAGGATATCCTCAGGAGCTCGAAGAATGAATGCGGTGCCTCGCCAAGCATACTAACTGGTCACAGTAATTTAACCCCTAGAGCTTTAAAGGGTCATCAAGTGTGGATTTTGCAAATGATGCCTTCGACTCTTGAATTGGAAGCTTAAGATTCAAATCGACAGCAACGATGTAGCAGCTTTGATCGAGGAGAGGTGATACATATACGTGGCAACGAGATTAAGAATCTACGAGTTCAGAGTTTCTTCTAAGATGGTTGGTGTCTCAGGTAGATTATTCAGAGTCTGCAATCGCTCAATTGCACAGTTTAGCCCAGGATTATGTAAAATATAAGAAACGAGTGGGAAAATGAGAGTGATGTTCAGAAACAGAAATGAAGTCCAGCTCAAAGTCGCTGCATGGGTCCATCCGATATAAGAATCGTTCCTGAAACTGAAGAAGGTTCTTTCTCATATTTTATTTTAACAACTAGCTTTTGAATGCATACTTTGAGCAAATTCACGAAGTCGAAATTCAACATTCATGTACGGTGTAGACTTTAGAAGCAATGAGCGCATTCGACTACAAAACTATGCACAAGATCATGCTGAAACTTTTCGCACACTTCATTTCATTTATGCTGGAAAGTTTCAGCAATTGGAACAGTGTAAGAATAGAAAAGGTGAACGAGTATGACGTACTTGGCAATCTGGGCATCCACGCCTTGAACAGAATCAACAATTCTTAGGGCATGTGTAATGATAACACAGAAACTCTGTTCTGATAATCCGCAATTACCCCAAACACCAACTTACATACGACCCAGAATGCATGGAGGAAGAATCACCCTGTTTGTGCTCCCAACCATTCAGAACTTGTCTTTCATTCACCAATAAATTGTGATACAGACTTCTACACTCTCGACCCTAAAAACACAACGAGGAGTTTATAATTTTCAGCCTAAAATAATTAGGTTCCCGATCCGATATTCTAGATATCGCATAATTGTAAATTACGCAAAGTAGAATTTCACCCATATACTGCAATCACGTCTTGTAAAGGACCGATGGCATAATCCACTAAAATTAAAATGCTTGATCTGAGGAGCCAGACAGCAGAAGGAAGTGGATGCAATACTTGAAATTTGTCGAAACCCTAGACACGAAATACGTCCAATGAGGTGCTGACCCATTGCCAGCGACAATTCGTGATTGCCTCCAGACAATCTAAGAACTTAAGTCCATGATGCTCTTCACCCCCGGAGAATACAAGTTGTACACAATTGCTTGGCGCTTTGCCAATTCCAGCTGGTCTTTTCCCAGAATGTAAGCTGCGGCTGCAGCTTCAGAGTCCGACGCTGCACCATGGTCTCGAAATCCAACAACAGTCCTCCTCTTCACATATTCACGGACGTTGTAGTTCGAAAATTTTCGAGCTTCCCTCATGAGTGCTTTGTAGAGCTGTCGTGCTTGAGCGGGAGATGGTGGGGGCGGTGCCATCTGGATGTATTGCTCACAACCTTTTCAACAAATCGAGTAGCTCCTTCAAAACCCCAATTCGATCTACACACAGCAGAAAGCAGGACGATGCTTCAGGAATCTACACATATGCACACAATCCAAGAAAGCAGCGAGAGAAGAAAACGTCACTAGTTGAGGACCTTTTTCGACGCTGAAACCGAACGAATACGCCTTGAACAACTTGTATATGTCAGAACATGTAAAATGCGAGTCCTCACAAACTTACAAAAATTCCAAGGGGCAACTACCGTAAAAATATTCGACACAGTGACATGCACAAAATTATGAGAGGTTATAACTCACACGGCAGATGCAAAGATCCTTGCGAATCACAACCTTGTTACCAGAATGTGGACTTGTGATAATTATAGAAAATGGGCTGCCTTGTTGTGCCACAGTGGGCCCTTCGCTGGGCTGGAGGACCTCATCAACCACGTCACCATGGAATCACCAAGTAAAAGCTTGAGACTAATAAATTTATGGGGATTTCTACAGAATTGACCACTAGTAATCCAGAGATCTACATGGACTTGTAAACTTCTGATTCTCGTGTCAAACAGGAACGTTCTTAAGTTTAAGGGAGCAGAGAATACCCTTCGGTTCTAGCAACGGCAGATAATCGACGGAAACGATGAGCATGGTGTTGAAACGAAGTAAATTCCAAGGATTTTCGAAACATTCATCGAACATTAGAGAAGGTATTATGAGAAGCGAAAATTTCTCCTGGAACCGCATCTCAATTCTCGACAACTTTATATGGCCGCACTAACTCTCAGTTGGAGTGGAAGTATTCGTTGTTGCTCTTGATCACAGGTAGTGGTGTGCGGCGGATGGTTGGCAGATCAATAAGAGGTTGTCCGTGTTCAGTCTGGAAGACTTTTCTGCTTTGTGCTGTGATTTTAGTGTGGAGTGTTAGCGGATCTGTACTTGTTCTTAGCAAAAGATCCAGGGGTGGAGAAGCAATGTCGTTGCCCAAAGTGGCAGCGAATTACACCCCTTTGACACCGTTGGGGTTTTTGGAGAGATCTGCGTTTGTGTATGGCAGCAGAACATCGGTCATCTACGGAGATGTGAGGTATACTTGGGCACAGACCTACGAGCGATGCAGGAGAATGGCGTCTGCACTGGTAAAGCGAGGCTTGTCTCGCGGTGACATCGTCTCCGTTGTAGCTCCCAACGTGCCCTGCATTTATGAAGCGCATTTCGGAGTACCTATGGCGGGGATGGTGCTGAATGCCATAAACATCCGCCTTGATGCTCGTATGACCGCGTTCTTTCTGGAGCATTCGAAGACTAAAGCCCTGATTGTAGACGAAGAATTTTTCCCACTCATTGATGAGGCGCTTGGAATCCTTAGTAGTAAGTTGGGGTCGATCGAGATGCCGCTCCTGGTTGTGGCCGAGGAAGGACAAGGGGGTATTGATCGGCAGAAGCACGGCGGCTTTGCAGCTGCTCTAGCCAGGGGAGCAATTGAGTACGAATCGTTTTTATCTGAAGGCGATCCGGCCTTTGTATGGGCTCCTCCTGCGGATGAGTGGGACTCAATTGCCCTAGGTTACACTTCAGGTACAACATCGAGCCCTAAGGGCGTTCTTCTCTCCCATAGAGGAGCTTATGTTGCAGCTCTGAGCAATCTCCTCGTCTGGGAGGTCCCCATTGGAGCCGTCTATTTGTGGACCCTCCCCTTGTTTCATTGCAACGGATGGTGCTACTCCTGGGGCATTGCAGCCCATGCGGGTACGAATGTCTGTCTTCGTCACGTTACTGCCACTGGGATTTATAATGCCATTCGAAAGTATGGAGTCACACATTTTTGTGGCGCTCCAGTAGTGCTGAACATGTTGATAAATTCACCCGTATCCGAGAGAGCTCCGATGTCACATACAATTCATGTCATGACTGCGGGAGCGGCTCCGCCAGCGATTGTTCTATCCAAAATGGAGGAACAGGGGTTTAGGGTGACACATACTTATGGATTGACGGAGACTTTTGGGCCAAGCACGATCTGCGCCTGGAAGCCAGAGTGGGACAGCTTACCTGTTGCCGACAGAGCTCGGCTAAATTCTCGACAAGGTGTTCGTTATGTTGGATTAGAGGGACTTGACGTTGTGGACTTGAAGTCGATGGTACCTGTGCCCGCTGATGGAGCTACGCTTGGTGAAGTAGTGATGCGAGGGAACATGGTTATGAAAGGGTACTTAAACAACCCTAAAGCCACGGAGGAAAGTTTTCAAGGGGGATGGTATCACTCTGGAGACATCGCTGTTAAGCATCCAGACGGGTATATAGAGATTAAAGACAGAGCCAAAGACATTATCATATCGGGTGGGGAGAATATTAGTTCTCTGGAGGTGGAGAGTATTCTTTACCGACATCCTGGCATACTGGAAGCTTCGGTGGTGGCAAGGCCTGATGAGCAATGGGGGGAAACTCCCTGTGCATTTATTACACCAAATGGCAAGGTTCCAATCACTGAGGCTGATGTGATACAGTTCTGTCGAAAGGAGTTGCCACATTACATGGTACCTCGATCTGTCGTGTTTGGTCCCTTGCCGAAGACTGCCACTGGTAAGATTCAGAAGCACGTACTGAGGACGAAAGCCAAGGCGTTGGGAAACCTTAACAAAAATCCCAGGAGTCGTATGTAGTATTATCTGCTGCAGATTTGGGCTTCCAGTCTGGAGGTACTTGAATTGGTATGGTCTGAATACATGCTATTTAAGTTGGAGAAATCGTCCCTTCACCATATACTCTTTTTTTCTATATTTTAAAATTTTTTACCTTTTCTTTTCTTTTCTTTGTGGTTTGTTTTTTTTTTGGCTATCCTCCACAGGAGATCCATGCTGTAAATAGTGCGAACTCAGCAAAGATGGTACTATTCTCTATGCATTGGTGACTAAAACGTGCCAGAAGTTGGAAGTGCAACACAGCTATCCTAATCGTTAAAGTTACAAGGTATTGCACTCTGTTTCTCTTTTCTCACAAGAGGAAGTGCATATTGACATGTTACTGCAACTATCTATTTTGGTGTTACCGTCGCTTTCAGCATGATCTGACCCACTCGAGCATATGGTCTTTGGTGTGGCTGGAAGGTTGTTGATGTCATTTTGTGGTGCTGTAACCTTCTGAGTAGTGCGTCCACTATGAAGAGTGAATGGCTTAGGTATTGTGTACTGTCGTTTTGGCAAATCATGTACCTGTTGTCACCATCACACATGTGTTAGTTTGTTTAGTGTTCGATTGGGACCATGTCAACTGCTAAGTTTTTTCCACGCCAATTTAAGAACTCTGAAAGCGAAAGGTAATTCATTTACACGGGTAAGGAAGACTTTGCGCTCCCATTCTTCCTGCTCCTTCTTCATTTGTTTGGCTAGATCCTGGAGCTCTAGATGGCGTCCCAAGCCTTTGATAACCACTGGTTCTTTTTCTTTGGGAGGCACTGGATGAACATCAGGTTTAAATGTGCATTCCTTGACCTCCTGCATCTCCATCTGCAACCGGAGCTGTTCAAAGTTCTTCGCTTTATCCTGCCATGGCGAACCCGTGTACTGACTTCAGTGCTCGTCAAATAATAGGAATATTTTGACTTGGTTTCGATTCAGTCACTGCTGACTCCTGCTCCGCTCGTTAACACGTCATAAAATCGGGAAGAGCTAACCATGCCTCAGGTTTCAATCACCAAACTGCCGTAATTTTGGAACGTACAGCATGACACTCAGAAAACTCTTCTAACAATGTTAAGATTTTCCACCGTACTTTCTACTATGTTCAGTAGAACTGGAATGAAGCGGAGCACACACTACACTGCTCCTAGAGCTATTCATTAGTCGAGAATGCCCATGAGATTATTGAATAATGGACAGGCGAGATGATGTTACCTCGCGAAACTTCCGACGATTTCGAAGAACACTATCCACTGAGATTGCTGATTTACGTGTGTTTACCTGAGTTCACCAAGCCACAAATATTAGTACTTGGCAACGGTTGCTCGCACCATGGCTTAAGCTCAACGACACCTCTGAAAGCAATCATAAAACCAAGGATTATCTTGGTTGTAATCAGTGTCACAATTTTTGTGAGGGAAATATTCACCTCAGGATGGAAAGTGCACGTTTGCACAAATTCTTGCTCTGCAGCTTGTTGAAGTGCTTCCTTTGTCCGCTTACCTTTCTCATTCTGTTTGCATGTTAACAGACACGTCTTTATCAGTAAATGATTACCCTTGATGTACTCTCCATACATACATGTATACTCCTGTCGGAAAGACCCACACACGAGGAATGAGCAATTGCTTAACCTTGTAAAGTTCATGTAGGTTTGTAGATGCAGAAAGAATCTTTGACATTTGATCAATCTTTGGTTGGAACTTGAATTGCGAGTAGTAGTTATCCTGCATTTTGTTCCAACCAGAATTCATGAGATCGAGGTTCTTCAGCAACATTACAATATAGGTTGCCTTCGCTCGCACTGCTCATTTTTAAAGATCCTTAATTTAATGTTATTGTGGTTGGCTATTCTGGGATTATGCTGAAGATGTGAAGACACTTAATGAGAGTAGAATACTTACTGAAATCTTTTGGCGAATGTAATAACGTCGTTGATTGTCTCTATGAGAAAGTCGTTCCAATCTCTCATTAAGCGTTTTCTCATTGCCATCTTGCAGAGTAGAACATTGTAGAATCATAGACGCATTTCCAATGTTGGGCCGGAATGTGTGACCGCAGGGCAGTTCCATCTCCTTCTGCTTCTGCGTTGTGTATTTAAACTTCATCAATCCTTCCTCTTGATTCAGTCGGATAAGTCGTGATGTTTTCTTTAATTCTAGAAGAAAAAGCATGACGGTGCATTATTGTTTACGGCTGATAAGTTGATGTCAGGAACCTGCTACATCTAGAAGCCACTAACCTTCCTTTGCTCAAGTCTACGCAGGAATTGTTGCTGACGCGTCAAAAAGCTAAATCCGTCGAGTGCAGACCCGGACAGTATATAATCCGTGTTGGGGTTTATCTCTGGGGCGAACGTGCACTCATCCTTTGGCCTGTACTTTCTTGCCTGCGAAGCATACTCATTGTAAGTAGTTATGTAACGCTTGAATTCAGATTAATGGACCACGCACACGCACAGTAAATCACGATCAGGAGAGGGCCGAAGTGGCCGGAGGGTAACTTAGGCAACTATCCATTCCTTCCGACGACATTTTAATCTCGTGCAACCTTGTCATGAAGAATTTATGACCAAGTCTGGCATGAGAATGTACCCGACAGTCTCCATGTCCATCGGACGGAGATGGTGTGCTGCTGGACAAACGATCGGAAACTTTGATCGCTTCCAAACCTTTCTGAGCATGGGACAAGTGAGTCTTTAGTTTAAACTCGATGCATAAGCAGCTCTAATGACAATATCAGAGTTTTTTGTGACGTGTTTGACAAACGAGGACAGAAATCACAAATTCAAAACATTTGTTAACTGCTCATGAATTATGCTTCACATGAAAATGGTTAACTTTAGAGCATAGACGAGAAGAATTCAGATAATGTAATGAGGTCAAAGATCGAAGCGACCGGTTTATTAAGAAGGTTCAAAGAAGAGAAGACATTTATAATTTAAACAAAAATCTGAAAATTATTAGATGAATATCGAGTAGTCAGTAGATTATCCACATGAACGTCATGAAGGAGAGCTAATGAAATGGGGGTGATTTAAGATAACCTGCTTGAATAGGCGAACAGATTTTCTGTTAATGGCGGGCTTGAAAGTGAGTCCTTTTTCTTTAGCATCTTGGGCTCGTGCTAAAGCAATTCTTTCATGCCTTTTCCTCTATATTCAGAATGACAAAAAGTAAGCTTTCCTAAGTTGAACGAGTGCACATAAGTTTACTCTCTTCCATCACATCGTTTGAAGTTGATTCCTTCGCATGAAATTGGCTGTTCGTGCTAACCATATTAGGACTTCTATCGTCATGCACTTGAAGCTGAGAGCGTTACCAGAAGCTCTTGAAGTCGCTCTTGAATGGGCTGATATGCCTCCTTATCCAGGTACACCGAGGTTAAGTTGATTTTTGGCCTGAAAGAACACTGTTCCAATTCCTCCTTTTCTATAATTTTTCGTGCCTGCAGTTTCACATCCCATTGAATTGCTCATTCTCAACATGGGTGTAATGTATTCCAAAAACAATCAATGAGCAAGTAATGATTGTATTTTTATCACATCATTACTTGTCAACTTTCAACAAGGAAAAAAGACTATCACAACGTAAGATTGGGAAGTCACATACTCGTTTCCGGAGTTCAATTCGCTGTTTCATCTCACCAATGCGATCAAAGATGGGCACCAATAGTGGTGAGCCAGGACTCGGTCTCCTTCCCACATTAGGCTGTACAAAACTCAAATATAAAATTATTCAATTCCTGGCTTTCAAAATCACAACAATAAAATTTTACTCAAAATTCAGATACATTATTGGATCACAAGGCTGAGAAGTGTTTTTTTTTTTTTTTTTTTTTTTTTTGATTACATGTACCTTAAACGAGCACTCAGACATCTGTTCTTCTTCCTTCAAAGCTCTGATTTGTGCACACCGCTGATGTAGTGCAGTTCGAGGTTTTGCCAGCCGCCTGAGCCTTGCCTGGATTTGGCACCCCATTGCACACAAGACGCATTGGTGAATTTTACTTTTGATCAAAGCAGCATGATCTTCTCCGTAATCATGTAACCGTCATAGCAACAACCGAAAATTAAGGAACTAGGTGTACAATGCGGGAAACCGAGGTTTTATATATATTACCATCGCTGCAACGTGGGTTTTTAGTTTCCCATCTGTAGTGCCCAATTTATGTGATTCTCTGGACAAAGTTTGCCTTCCGTCTTGGCACCCTTACCACAAGCACATTTCTAAAATGAGAAAAATTCAAAGAGCCGGCATTCCTTAACCTGATATTGAAATGACTCCATCAGACGAACCAGGGCCCATTCAGTTTCATTACAAACCTATATACAGCTTCTCAAACGCATCAGACAATAACTAGAGGATTTCACTAAAAAGCTTAGTTGAAGGATTTTAAGCTGGTTACTAATTGCTCTGTCCATCGCAGGCATTTCCTGCGTCCGTCTTGAATTGGTTGTGGTTCCTCTCTGCATCATTACCACACGAAAGGTCACTTTGAATTAGTTACCTCTCAGATGTGGCAAAACAAGTAATGTCTGAAGGGACCTTCCGGTTGTATCACGTGTCAAAAGTTATAAGACATTTTTTTCTTGGTAACGTTCACTTACTGGTTTTAATGTGGCTGTCTTTTCAGCAGACTTGAGAGACAGATGCAACTGATCTAGGATTTTTCCATCGGATTGCAACCGTGGCCGCAGTAAATGCTGAACTTTCTTATCTGAGGTTTCAAGATTAGTTTCATGTATGATGCCTCCTGCATACAGCCCAATTGAGGTGCATGTTCAACTTTTGGTTCCATGGTTGTGGTCCAGGTTTAAAATATCCCAGCCATTAGTTAACAGCTTCACAATTATTTGGTCCCCTCTAGTAGGTCGCGAAGTGTCATGAGAAACATCAGTTCCGTGATGTTAAACAAGAGAAGCTGGAAGCCTCCTTTCACAGAACTCTGAGAACTGAACTTCCAACTGCGTCTCTCAAAATTAAGATTCGAACACTTAAGTTTGGGAATGAAGTGATGCTGACAACAACGCCTATTTCTCATTCAACCATGTTTCCCAGCTTCTGCACCTTCATAATTGAGATCAGATGGCAATATATTCTGAACATTAGAACGCTTGTCAAGCCACTCCCAAGCCTCTTCACAATTCTTTGGACTCGTACTCGTGAAACAGGGAGCCTCGAACGTTCCCTCAGAGCTTCTGCTTGTGTTCGAGTGCATGGATATGCCAACTTTTCTTGTACCAAGTTTTTCTGCCTCACCCCCTTCCTGAAAGTAAAAGTTTCAAATCTCGGCATTAAACAAGGTACATACATAATTATGATATCTTTGAGGAATAATTTCACACTTAAAAACGCCAGAAAAAAAAAAAAAAAAAACGTTGCCGAGCAGTGCTCGTGGCATTATAAAACTAGTCCTACTGGACGCAATGACAGAGGGTTGGATTAGGCCATTGAGCTGCTGGATCGGGACTTACAGTTGGACTGACCGTTTTTGACGGTAGATGCGGTTTAAGTTGGGACACATCTTCCATTTGAACCGCTTCACCGCAAATTAGGAAAGTTTTCTTGTCGTTTTTCTCCATTCTAAATGACGACCCCATTCCACTTTTTGTTTGCTTCTCACTTTCCTTATTTGGAGAGGATTCTTTGGCACCTTCGACCTGCATTCAAAAATACGTTTTCATAATCAGCTGGTTAGGTGATACGAATTTAGAATTCCACAACCAGCGTCCTTCTTGGATGAACTAGTATCCTGCACTTTAAGTTTTAGTTCTGCAGGTGTTGACGGTAGTGTTAGGACCCAGCAAAGTTCGAGGCAAAGGAGAACATGCATGCGGAAGGAGAAGGTCGTGGTTATGCTTACCCTCGCGAATTCAACGCCGTGGTCATTCTGGGTTCCACTCAGAGAAGTAGAGGTGGTAGTCCCTGATGTCTCAGAAAAATTAACTGTCCAATCTTCTGAAGCACTGACGGTGTGCAGTCCGTCATTGCTGCGAGCGCACCGTCTTTTAACGTGAATCTTCTTAAGAAATACCTCATCGGTTGCGCCTCTAACTCCACCCTGCAGTGGTGTACAGTTGACCTGCTGACTGGATAGTGATGAATTGCTTGTGGATTTTGACGGTGCTGATATCAACATTCGATTCTGAGGCTTCTCCAAAAGTTTCTCCGAAAAGGCCGAATCGTCAATACTTCGTGTGTCGGATTCATCCACCTGCACCACATTTTACCTTTCATTTCATTTCTCTTTAATGCGTCCGCTATTTCAAGGATGACCCAGTTGAACTTGCACACGAAACAAAGAAAATTCAAAACTAGTCCAAGATACCAAAGAGATTGTTCATGGTGATGGAAAACAGGTCATAGGTTGCTTCATGCCGTGGAAGGATTCATGCCGCTGAGAAGCCCCATGTTCCTTGTCCACTCAAACTCCAGTCCGCTTAATTTGCTCTCGAACTGCGGTACTGCCACATCTTTTCTGAGCGAAACTCTCTTGAATGCTCCTACACAATGTGTATTTCGTGTTTTTTAGTCAATACTGCTCACCAAAGCTACCCCAACTTGTCTTTTTCAAGCTACATAGCAATTGGGCTGAGGAAAGCTTCAGAGGTTTTCCTTCTACGACAGCCAACTAATTCGAGTACAACAAAAGATGAAGTCAGGGTGAAGGACAAGTGTAGCTACACAGCTATTGAGTATTCCAGTTGTGGGTTTTAATAATCCCGCTCTAATAACCTCGTAAGTTTGTGAACCGCAGAACATAAGGAAAAGCCCCAAATATTTTTTCAATAGGGGAGCAACTTAACAGGGGAAATATACAAATCGTTTTTTATATCACGACCATGAAATTGCCTTAAAACCTACTGTCATAATGCGAACAGATTATGCGTCAGAATGGAGGTTGGGTGTGAAATACCATCAGCAAATGTGGATTGCAAAGAGATTGGGACCATGGAAAGAAGATCTTCACAGCGACGGATACTCCTCTCAATTCCAAGGTCGAGCTCACTCTTCCCATCCTTTAGCAGGACGTCTTCTTTTTGAGCCACCATGATGCCAAGCCCTCCAGCACCACAACGTCGACGGCAATTGACACAAACTATCGAACTTGAATTTCGGCAAGAGTCGTCGCTCCCCACTACGCAGTTGTGTGGCCATTCGCCATTTTCTCTCACGACTCCCCAAATTGCGGTGTTACATGATGTGCTCCGGACGACGATCACTCACAGTGCAAGCTGATTTCGACCTTTCTGAGCTGAATGCAGCCTGGTGCCTATTCCTCGCATTTGCTACCGTGTATCATAGACCATAACATTCGTTAAACTCTCGAGCTATGGCTTCTCGCGAATGTAAGAAATCATGGCGCACAAAGTTTTCGTGTATTGATTTTAATTAATTTACAGCCCAGAGACAGAACCTTCTCTTGAAGTCTGGAATATGATTTGCGGAAGGTGCTTGTGTCTTTAGACAAATAGCATCAAGGAAAGCCTTTGTAAGAGGCTCACCTGCACTGTGGTTTTAAAACGAGCGGAGCTGCGAAACTCCACACATTGGGTGCGCTAGGAACACTCCAAAGACGGTTACCCCCGATAAACTCATAACGGTATTTAAACGGAGGATAAATAATTCCGGTTACGGTGGCACCCCATCGCATATTCTGACCACAGGTTCCACCAGTGTGCCAAGAACGACTGTCAACCAAGAGAATCAGGTGAACCAAGCATCGGAACAACGCCTCACGTAGTGTCGATTGCATGAGTTTGGTGACGTTGGACCGGTAAGAATAATTAATAATGAGTTATTTGCTGCTGCTGACTTGTGAGTGCAGAGCACCCTTAGAGAGCTCAAAGAATGTGACCTTGAGTGTCCGGAGTCGAGAGTCTGAAGGAGAATTTCTCATCTCGTAAGTCAAGGTTATGTGGAGCACATTTCGAAACAGATTAGAATACTCGTTAGATGTGTCACGGTTGACGAATTGTGCTAGGTAGTGTTTCACATACGAAAGATCCACGTACAAAAGCAGCGATAAGGTCGATGTATGGCCTGGTTTTCGTGGAATTCATCACTACTTCCGAGTGCCTGCAAGAAATTGTATAAAAAGCAGCCACGATTTCAATAGTGTTGCTTGCCCCCCAACAAGCACAAGGTTGATTTGCCAAGAACGACTGTCAAGGTATACGTTTTGATCTCTACTTGTGCTCCTTGCTTTGGCTCATCTTTTCCTATGATCAGTTTGCAAAACATTACTCAATACATTTTGCAATGCGTTGCAGAGGATTGCTCTGGAGATACATACCCACATTCAGAGAAGCAATTACTGAAGTCGTCAAAAATGTATCAATCCTCATGGCCTCTTGCTGCACTCGTGCTTTTAGTTAACGAACATTTACTAAAAGCGTAATTGATACCTAAGATCCTCGCATCAAGTGTCCTGCATGCAGACTCCTGTAGCCTTCTCCAGGTAGTTTTCTTGACAATTCCTGGATGTTTGAAATTCAGTACTACCCGGTCTTTTGTCGAGCAAATATTCAAGAGCCTGCTCGGAGGATTAAAAAAAAGCTTTGAGGCTGCCATGCAGAAGTGAAGTCGAGGTCCGGTTCAGTTAATTGCGACAACTGGGCCATACTCAGCCTTTTTTCTTGTGTGATAGCAGCCCTGAACAGTGTGTGATGTGCAACGCAGCGGATGCCGTGGGGTATGAAGACCATAACGTGAAGTTCCTTCACCATGGAAACGAAGATTTTACCACATTATGTGGGCAAAGTCATTGAAACATCCATTCAGTGAGATACTTGTCTGATGTTCTGCATGCACCAACAGACATGATCGTAATCACCGCCACACCCACATTTGTGAAAAGAGATCTGTTATCCACACTCTTAGAGTACTACTCCATGGCTCCATTCTGTCCAGGGTAAACAAAATTTTGAAACAGGCTAATGATGAGACCGGCAACAGCGAGGGCTCATTAACAATCCTTGCCAACATCTCGCTCTCAAACATATAGACTTCAACTATAAAAGAGGAATCATTCCCAGTATGGTTCCATGTATCGTTCGGCATGTTCCATGTACCTGAGCCTCACAATGAATCATACAAGCGCAGTACACAAAAAGTTTGAATGCCTGGGGTACAAGTTTGTCAGCTGACATCCAGGCATCGCTACCATGGTTTTTATAGCTCTGACAAAAGCCCGAGACTAACCAAAATTGTGGGACGCAACTGCAGTTATGCAATTGGCTTCCGACGTACAATCGCCCTGCAAGACTCGACAACAGGTATCATTGAGCCCGTGATTAGTATTCACTACTCATTAACGCCATGATGCTTTTTGTCACATCTCAATAATAGAATGTTGAGATAGGTTATTGTATTTTTCTATGATTTTTGCAGATGAGTCTCTGGCAATGCTCTCTGCCCAACAAAATCTTCGTACCCTGGAAAAAATTCAGTCGTTCAAACTGGAGTCAGTATCCCTTCCGCACACCCCCTTGCGTTTTCTGTCCGAGAAGAAAACCAGTGTCACTGAACCTAGTGCTTGGTGAACATCAAATGCGCTCAATGCTTACCGGAGGTGTGATCGTGCAGCGACGCCCGGCATCTGTCAGTCGATTGCGTAAATGAGTGAAAGTCTGGAAGGCCATACCAAAAGTGAAATTCGAGGTATCTTACACTACCTGGTGAGAAATTGTGAAAGAGAACAACGAATCTGTGGCTATCAACAGGAGCCGATGTAACCCTCAATTGTTTTCTATTTTCTTTTTGTTTTCACGCTTTCGGATTTCCTTGTGTTTTTGACATCCCGTTGACATCCATGTAATTCACAATCTAAACAAGCTCTTATTTATCTGTCTATTCAAGGCATCGTCATGCCGAGATTGACATGCAGCAACAGTATGTAATACTGCACCGTGTTTAGTGGTGATTCTTCATGGAAAAGTTGTGACAGGAGGCACGTGGCCTTTGTCGGCAGCGAAAGCCTTTCTTGTATTTTTTCTTTTCTTATTCGAAACCTCGGCGAATTTGCTTATTTCAAATGCCCTGTAATATGACGACGTCCCCGAACATCTTAGAAGACATGCATATTCAAAGCAAGGATCTATATAAAACCGTGGCAAATGCGCTCCAATTCATTACTATCCAGCACATAAACTTAATCTTGGATTCATTTGAAGCGCAAAACTAAAAGATGATTTCACACTTCACACAAGCTGGATCGCCGCAGCCAACAGACCAGCAATTGATGTCAGTGCTCTATAAACAGAATCTGCAAAAGTCAGTTAGGAAACACGAACATCACACAGCTTTAGAGAACATGGTTCTTCTGTGAGCTTGCAGACCAATTTCTATTTCAATCCTGGTCAAGTCCAACTAATACTGTGGCTGCAGCGAAAGCCCTATCCAACAGCCCCCACTCGCGCAGCACAAAGCATCCTTGCAACGACGAGATTCAGAGGGATGAAATATCGTAATAAGTACCTCTCCGACGCTAGGAATTTCAGAACTGACATAGCAATTGTCAGTTTCTGTTGATTCTGCAGAGCTTGTCAATTTTGTAATGCCCCATCCTCAGGGATACATGTGCTGCATTGTCACACTTGCTTTCCACTGAGAAGTGGTAGGCTGCAATGTTTGACCTGGCTGGCAATGGAGCATGGATCCAAGTGCAATTGTTCTTCCAACGAAGAGGGTAAGAAGCACCTTGCAAGTTTTTTTGAAGGTGTAGAAAGGTCCCAGCCATCGCTTGTATATGTATTACAGCCAATCAGAAGGCTTTTTTGTCTCTTTATCTTGTACCCAAGCTGCCTTATATAATAGACATATACATATGTGTGTGTGTGTATTCATATATCCTTTTATATCTTCTTCTTTACTCTATACGCTTGGAAAAGAATGTGGGTCATTTTCAACTGGGTTCACAAGTAGAGATGGATTACAGAGCCAACGATTAAACAAAACCCAGCTCCATTGCTGCAGTGGCTCTTGCACATTGCGAAAGGTCCACGCCACCAAGGGCTGCACGTTTTCTAGCTAACATATGTTTATTTACTTAAAAGATATTTATTGTAAAATAAATGGGTGAGCGTAGGCGCCACCATGGCAGCATCAATACAGGAGTGGGGGCACCCATCAGCAGGGGCAAAAAGCACTTGTCTTGAAGCAAGCTCACCACTTTGAAATCGAGGGCACGGGGGAGGGCGACTACCAATATACTCCGCATTGGTGGTTTGAAAGCTCCCCCAGGTAAACAACGATGCGTGCAGACGCGGAATCGGTGGTACAAGCAACGACGAGACGTGATTGCTACTGAGCGAGACTAAATACCTCGGCTCCTCCACGATTCATGCTCCACAACAAAGCCATCCCCTCGACAGGAAAAGAGAGCATCAAATCCACCGCAACAGAACAATCTCCGGAACCCCAGATGCCGAAATTGGTGGGGAGCCATGGAGCCCATGAAGCGATGGATGGATGGATGGACTTTGAATGTAGTGCTTGGTTGATTACATGCATAACTCTTTACATATCAACTCCAATTGTAGTTGTAGGGGATGATTTGACTCTTGGGTTGTGGGATACACTAACAAAAAAAAAAAAAATAAATAAACAATATTGAGGTTTGGAAAATATATAACACTAATAACTAAGGGTGGAAGCATCTTTCTATGTGGATGTGATTCAATGTGGTTGATAATATAAACAATGTAGTTTGAAGCATCTATTTAATGACACTTCTATCATGTTTTTGAAACATGCCAACCAAAAAAGACACTCCATTCTCTAATGGGCAGGGGGGGGGGGGGGGGTTCAAGTGGGCCATGTTTCCATGAAAGAGATGCATCATGGGCCCTGATTCCATAGAAGAAGAAGATGATGAAGCTCCCCCACCCCTCCCCTCCCCTCCCTTAGTAATAAGTCATTCAGGCATTCAGCTAACCATCCAGTGCCCACCCCCACCCCCTGGCCTACTACTATTTGGCTTTCAGACAGACTCACTCACTCACAAGTCTCCCTGGCCCCTTCCTTCCCTTCCCATCTTTCTTTCAGTGCTGCTTTTGGTGGCTGTGCTGCTGCTTCTTTCTGCCCTTTTAATTGTTCACACACACTCCCCCCTCCTTCCCCCACTCACTAGTCACTCACTCTACTTCCAACATGCTCAAATATTTTCCCATCTATTTTATTTATTTTTTACTTATTGCAACTGAGGCGTTTCTGCTTCATCCACTATGATGTGTGTCATGATACAATTTGTTTGTTTGCTTTTGATTTCACTTTATATATATAAATATATATATATATATATGTACATACATACATATCAGAAAATTTGAGAATCAAGAAGGTTTGAGACAGGGTTCTTGAAACAGAATTTCAAAATGTTTAATAAAAATCAAATCATGCTTGTATGTGGATATATATATATATATATATATATATACATATTCTTGTAACTTTTTGCAACTTGTATGTAATATTAATTAATTAGAAAAGGTCAACTTATTTTTCAATTTAGACATAGTTTTAAAGATAGTACAAAGAATTTCATTCTTTAATGTTAAAGATTGTTATCTTGAAAATATTAAATGTATTTTTTTAAAACTGGTGCCACTTAGCTTAAACCACTACATTAAGAAGATAATCATAGGTCGAAAATTAAATAAGTTCCACATACATTTTAATAAGTAAAAATACATTTTATAAATTAATTTTAATGAAATATAGTTTTAAAAGTTTAAATGTAGGATTCAATGCATGAGATAATTTGATGCTAACATCCCAGTAATAATAAGAAAATATAATAAAATTAGAGACAATGCAATTAGACACCACTAATTTATTATATATATACTTCCATAGATAAAATTAAAACATTTGATTTTGCAACTTTAAAATTATAATTATAGAAATACATAATTAAATTTGAACATAAAACCAATGATAACTTTTCACAACATGTCTCATGCTAACTTTTCATAACTCATAAAATAAGTCATTTATGAGATATTAAAAATACGAAAAAAAATTAATAAAAAAATAAGGAAAAAAAAGTTAATGAATAAAAAGAAAAAAATACATCAAATAGTTATTCATGTATGTATTATTCAATTCAAAAAAAACACAATATATATATATATATATATATATATACATATACACACACACATTTACT